CCAAAGTACTGGGATTACAGGTTTGAGCCACCACACCCAGCCTGGTGTCCTTTTTATAGTAAGGCTCATTTCGATTTACTTACATGTGTCCAGCCTCTCTGCTCACCATCAGCCCTTTGGATCCCACTCTTTTCTTCTGGATTGAGTCTTTTCATCCTGAAATACACCACTGGCCACTTCTCTGAGGAAATGTCTAAAAAGTAACTTTCTTCAGCCTTCATCTGGAGAGTGTGTTTATTTTGCCTTTCCTCTTGCATGATTGCTTAGTTGTGTTCAAGGCTAAAAGCTATATTCTCTCAATACTTTGAAAATACTATTCCATTAATTTTGGGTTGATTTTGCCACTTAGTAACATTCTACCTTGCAGAAAAGTTGTGTTTTCATGGGCAATCTGTGTTTTCTCTCTGGCTGTGTGTTCTGTAAATTCACTATTATGTATTAGGTGTTAATTTGTAATTGTTTATCTGGCTCCTGAGTGTGCTATTCAATCCGAGAACTTAAATGCTTCTTTCCATTCTAGAAACATCTCAGTCATAAGTTCTCATTTGCTGTAAGGTCTCATGTTCCCTTGTTTCTCAACATCTTCTATCTCCTGCCTCTCTGTGCCATGTTCTGTATGATTTCCCTGTATCCATTCTGTAGTTCCCTAATTCTTTTTTTTTCTTTTTGAGCTGGAGTTTCACTCTTGTCACCCAGGCTGGAGTGCAATGGCATGATCTTGGCTCACTGCAACCTCTGCCTCCTAGGTTCAAGTGATTCTCCTGCCTCAGCCTCCCGAGTAGCTGGGATTACAGGCACCCACCACCACACCTGGCTAATTTTTTGTATTTTTAGTAGTGATGGCATTTCACCATGTTGACCAGGCTGGTCTCGAACTCCTGACCTCATGCAATCCACCTACCTCAGCCTCTGAAAATGCTGGGATTCCAGGTGTGAGCCACAGTGCCTGGTCCCTAATTCTTTTATTGGCCATGTCTCATCTACTGATTTACTTATTATTTCAGTGACTATTCTTTTCCTTCTAAAACTGCTGTTTGGTTTTCTTTCAAATTAATTTTTCAATCATGTCCTATTCTTTCAATGGTTACTGTTGCTTCTTGTATCACTTTAGTAACTCTAAACATATATATCCAATACTTTTTTCGGTTTTCACTTATTTCCAGTTCCCAGGTACCCACTGGCCCTCATGTTGTACTTGCTGACCCTTGGCATGGTGGGTTCGTTCCTGGCCTGGTTGCAATTCTTTATTGTGAGCTCATCTTCAGCAGGGGTTGTTTTTGCCTCTGGAAATCTACGTGCCCTGTAGACTTTTCTGGAGCACGCTTTGCCTTTTTCTTTTCTTTTTCTTTTTTTTTTTTGAGACGGAGTTTCACTCGTTACCCAGGCTGGAGTGCAATGGCGCAATCTTGGCTCACCGCAACCTCCGCCTCCTGCATTCAGGCAATTCTCCTGCCTCAGCCTCCTGAGTAGCTGGGATTACAGGCACGGGCCACCGTGCCCAGCTAATTTTTTGTATTTTTAGTAGTGACGGGGTTTCACCATGTTGACCAGGATGGTCTCGATCTCTTGACCTCGTGATCCACCCGCCTCCGCCTCTCAAGTGCTGGGATTACAGGCGTGAGCCACCGCGCCCGGCCCCTGCTTTGCCTTTTTCTTCTGTAAACCAAGGTCAGTTATTTTAGGGTCTTGAACAAGTTTTAGTTTTTAATTTGTAATTTTCAACCCATCTGGGTGGTGTCAACTTAATCCCTGCATTTGCTCCTTAGCACAGGCTCCTGATTCTGAAGACTCACACAAAAGCTTTTGGTTACTTTTCAGAGCCCAAGCCAGACCTCAGGCCTCCTTGCTGTTTCTTAGGTGAGCATGGTTCTTCCAGTTCCCTTTTCATGGACTGGGTAGCTTCTTAAGAGGTCCGGTTTGGTCCTGTTTCCCCCTCGTCTTGCACAGGCCAGGCTGGTGTCTTCTGTCCCCAGGGGTGTTGACACTCTGACCTCTACTTATTGTTTCAAGGGCTGACAGCCCTCCGTGGATACATCAGCTGGAGGTTTCTTTCCAGCCCTGGAGATTCTGCTTTGTTTCTGGCACTTGGGAATCTCTTTCCTCTTTCTGTCAAGCTGAGCTACGCATGAAACCTTTTTTTTTTAAGTTGTTTTAGATTTTCCAATAGCTGTGTGTAATTTCAGCAGGAGTGGGTCTGCATCAACTCAGCCTGCCACAAACCTTATTCATCTCCAACCCAGAACAGTAACTGGCTCATACCGGATGCTGGATGAATGAATGAATGAATGAATGCACTTCTAGTAGCAGCTAGAAGCAATATTCTAGTGAGCAGTGCCTCCTATCTCTCCAGGAGCACTGAATCGGGCAGAATTCACTTTCCTTTGAGGTTATACATGAAGCGTTCCCCGTGAAAAAGTGAAGAGAGAATAGGACTTCCTCTATGCTTTTGTTTTAAGTCCCAGAACAATGGAAATGTTTAACTGCTTTGCACTGCTTGATATATGAAGGTGGACTGACGACTGAGTTCCCATGCCGTTTGCTGGTGGCTTCACACAGCATCATTACCAAGAGGAAAGATTAAAGAATCGCAGAGAACAGGACACTAGGCCTGTTTACTTCCCTCTTCCTCCTCTGTTTTAAGAAAAGTGCGCCTTTGATGAGATATAGCCACAGGCTCTTGTTTTACATTTTACGTCAAATGCTGTTGTCAGAGGCTGGTTATTGATGCCATGCCCTGTTTTAATTCACACTTCTCTGCTAATCCATTACAGCGTTTATCCATTAATCAGGCATTCTGACAGGGTCAATAACTGCTTTTTTGGCTCTCATGCAGGGCTGTACCTTATCAAGCCAGGAATAAGGCTCAGGAGCTGGCTTTAAAACACCTTGTGACTTTCCCAGGCTGGTGGACTTCCGGAGCAATAAACATCTAGTGGGGATTTCATATGGTGGGTTTTTCATATGTTTGGTAGATGGGATTTTCTCACTGAACACTTCATTAGCAGGGCTCAATGTTAGTGAAGTGTGGACAGGTGTGGTCTGTTTAAGAAAAACAGAAACATCAAAAGGCAATTATTACCATCACATACCAATGACTACATTTACCTAAAAGTAGTATTAAATCGTGATCTTCCTTCATTCCTATTAAATGTTTACAAGCAATATCTTCTTGGCAGTAGGGTTTGAGAGCAAAGACTCTTAAAGCCAAAATGTTTCATCTAGCAGCTGAAATTTAGATTAAATAGGGCTGTAATAGTAATGTGAGTCAAGAGGAAAATCTGTAGTTTCTTTCCGGAAGTTTCTTGAGGTCCATCTTTTCCATGGAGTGTTTTAAAACCTTTGTGTCCATCTTCCCGTCCATGGGTACACACACATCTTCAGCTTCCCTTAGTCTTTCTATAAGAGTTTGTTATAGCATATTCAGATGTGGTGAATTGTGACAGATATGAAAACTTTCTATTTCAGTAAGGGTAAGTCAGAAACAGGTGACAGGGTTTAACTGCAGAGTTACAGTTTGGGTAGGTAAGTTACCATGCGTTGTGATGGTTACAGGTTTCAGCGATCCTTTGATGACAGATGTACCAACATTTAATTGTTTTTCATCAAGGGCGGAGAGAAAAGACACTTGTGTAGGTTTTTCAATTCTCCTGCGTGTCACTCGGCTGTCCTCCCCATTGTCTGAGCTCCTTTCTCTTATCCTTTTCGCTGCAATGAGTTGTGTCATTCCCTCATGGTCAGCACTTTTGTTGTCTTTGTTTTTTGCTGTACCTCAGAAGTCCATCTTTTCTTTCATCTCCTTCCCATTCATGCATGAGGGAACAGTTGTGCCCTGTTGTGGGGATGTTCCGCTGGGTTTCAAACAGTAGGGTTTCTTTTTATTCTCTTCTAAGTAGTACAATGGGGCTGAATGTCTGTTGCAGAATGCACACACTAATATGCCAGGTTATTTGGTTTCTAAGAAGTCAATAAAAATACTACATTTAGGCTCAGTCTTTAGCTTGCTTTTCCCCCCCGCTTGCCTTTCAGGCCTTCGGTTAGAAATCTGTTTGTTTGTTTCTGATTGTAAAATATAATCTTCCATATTAAACTGAAGCGTGGAATCAACAAACACTTTGAGGAAAGTGTTCCTGGCGGTGGAGTGTTTTCACACCAGGCAGGGTTGGCAGCCGGCACCCTCCCTTGATAAGAGCCTGGAAACAGCCCCCAGAGCTAATTAATGGCAGCTACAACTTGGAGATGAAAAAAGAGAATGGATCCCAAGTTGGTCTTGGCCAAACTCTGGTGTAAGAAACCAGCTCATCTCTGCATTTAGAGGGTGCAGCTGTGATTGTTTTCACGCGACTTCTCACTCAGTTCCTGCTTTGGTGGGGAGGTGAGCGTGAGCCGAGCGAACCGAGTGACAAACAGGGACGCGAAGGCCACTGCAGCAGCAAAAGGCTAAAGACATAAAAAGTTGGAGATGTCTTAGGACACTTTGTTCTCATATTCAGGAACAGTCTTCAAAATCCTCCTTAATGAGGTCATAAAAGAAAAAAATGGAACAAGTGTTCCTTGTATACCTCTCTAGGGTGTGTCGTTGGGGTCACTTGCCACCAGTCTCCTATTTAAAAAGGGATTGGAGTAGTTCAATCAAGCATTGCTTTAAGAGAGAGACTGATTAATTCCTTCTCTTTTCTTTTGTGCTATAGATAATTTCAGTCAATTTGTGATACTTTCTTCTTAGCCATTGCTGAGGCTGAAAGTTCTTGATGCGTCCTGCTGAGTATTAGCATTTCTCGGGCCTACTTGGCTATGGGGAAGAGGCGCACACTGCAGACAGCTCTCTAAGCCCTGACGAGCAAGGCTGGCCTCTACACATGACCGTGATCTGGGATCTCGGCTTAGGAAAGAGCCGTTCTCAGGGTGCTGGCAGAAACAAAATCTTGATGTAAACGAAGAGGGGACCGAACAGTAAGATGGTGATTTACTGTGGTGATACCGTGTTGTTTTTGTTTTTTAAGGTTCTGGACCTGGCTCTTAAGAAACTCACAGCTTGGGTAAGTTTCAGGAACTGCTCTCAAGGGGAACAAAAGAAAAGGAAAAGTGAGGGCTAACAATGTGAGCTTTCACTGGGGCTGCTGTGGGAAAGTTGAAGATTGGCCCCAGGGCGGTCAGGATCAGGTAGAAAACTGGGCTGGGTCTCTTGTCGTTTGCTTTCTTTTATTGACCAGCTTTCTTGTTTGTGGAGAAGGCATCAGAGAGATGAAGGGACATTTTAGTACTGTGCTGTAGAAACTCAATGGGAAATGTTAACTGTTTTGGTGTTAGGATATATTTAACGTGCTTAGTTAAACAGAGTCACATACCTGTTGTATTTTATAAGCTCATTTTGGAAAATGTATGTAACGTTTATTTATTGTAAATGCAAGGTCTTTTCGGTATCCATACATTTCCCAGCCACTGAAAAGGTGGATTTGGTTCTGATAGACCGGAACGGCTCCCAGGGAGGCATTGTGGTGTTAGTGTAAATCCCCTTTCCTTTTTGGTTTACTCATTTGATGCACGAGGGTCAGTTCTTGGGCTGCTGCTTTCTGTCCTGTTAATCCAGCTGCTGCACATGCGCACCAGGGCAACAGGTTAAAAGCCCTAATTTAAGATAGCTTTGGGTATGGATAAAATCCCTTTTTGTCCAGTTGAAGCGTCTGTTTTTCAATTGAGTCTAGTTGGGTTTATTTTCATGAATGTACATCTAATATGTTTATGTAAACACATTAAGGCAAGATTTCAGAATTTAGAGTATGTTTTATGATAATTACTACTGTTTTGCTAAAAGTTTAATAGCAATCATAAGAATTTCTTAAATTATTATTTTCAAATTAAAAAGATGTTAGACTTCTCATTTGTTCTTTTGGGTAGTATTTAGAGATTAAGAACCCAAAGACAGTCTCATTCATTCGTCAAATGTTATTTATTAAATTATTCCTCCATGCCAGACTTATTATCATAATTATCAATGTAACTGGTCTTTAACTTATATTTACAATGATTATGTAAATAGCAGAAACACCTAAGTATCCTACTTCTTGATAATCAGCTTTAACTCTCTCTGGGGGTCGTGTGTTCTTTTTGAAGCAAGTCTTTGAATAGATTACTCGGGCCTTACCCTAGTTCTTGGAATGCTAACTGAAGTTGTATGATCGATAGATTTCCCCAGAGTTAAAACTGGAGAGGTCCATGGAGGCAGAGTGGTGTCATGGAAAGGACACAGGCTGTCATTTACTTTTCCTCCCTTGAAAAGGGAAGAGCCGGCAGCTCAGGGGACGGTGTGAGAATTAAACTCTGAATAAGGTAAAGCGGCCGTCACAGGCCTGGCCCTCAGTGCATCCCCCATGAACGCCCCTCCCCTGCCCCTCATCCCTAAGGCAGTGGTGTCTGTAGGGCCTCAGGCATCTATATTCTCCATCTACATGCTGAGGGCCAGGGAAGTTACCTGGTTACTGCTGACTCTGTGCCACAAAAAAGGAGTGAAGGATGTACATTCAGAACCTGGTTTCAGCCAGGTGCGGTGGCTCACGCCCATAATCCCAGCACTTTGGGAGGCTGAGGCGGGCAGATCCTCTGAGGTCAGGAGTTCGATACCAGCCTGGACAACATGGCGAAACCCCATCTCTACTAAAAATTCAAAAATTAGACCGGCATGGTGGCATGCATCTCTAATCCCAGCTACGCAGGAGGCTGAGGCAGGAGAATCACTTGAACCCGGGAGGCGGAGGTTGTAGTGAGCCAAGACTGTGCCTCTGTACTCCAGCCAGGGCAACAGTGAGACTCCATCTCAAAAAAAAAAAACAAAAAACCTTTGTTCCTGTGGACAATATTTCAAAGACTTGTTAGGCCTGGGGAGCAGACCTGCTTCTTTTGCTTGTTTGAAGCCTAATTGCAGGTATTTCTAATACTTCCTACAGTGGACTTCCCTCCTCTTCCAAATGTTGCTTTTCCACAGAATCCATGTGGTCATTGCCAAAAAGAAAGAACTTCCTGAACTAAATCAAGCCAGCGTCCACTTCTCTTCCAGGATTGCAGGTTCCTTTTCAGATAAAGGTCTCAGAGGGCAGGCAGGGCAGAAGGTCTCCTCATAAAATCCGCGAACTGTGGTCCTCTGGGCACCTTGTCTTCTGATACCAAGTAGAACAAAGGAATAAACACAAACACACTTTACTCCCCCTCAGAACTCCTTCAGGTCAGATCTAGGATCCAAGAAGTAGCAAAAATAGTCCATCCAGACAATGAGCGATTTTCTTCGAAAGACAAACAAGCAAGAAACCTGGGTTTGTCTAGATATATACCTACTTCTGTCTCCCATGGTCGGTATGGAAGTACACACTATGCGGTAAACACTAGCTGAGGAACATCATCCTTTCCATCTTAGGATAGACTCAGAGAATCATAGATACCTTTCATTCTCTACTTAAAGACAGTATTGTTGGGTGCAATGGCTCACACCTATAATCCCAGCACTTGGAGAGGCCGAGGTGGGTGTATCACTTGAGGCCAGGAGTTTGACCAGCCTGGCCAACATAGTGAAGCCCCGTCTCTACTAAAAATACAAAAATTAGTTGGGCATGGTGGTGGGTGCCTGTAATTCCAGCTGCTCCGGAGACTGAGACAGAAGAATCACTTGAACCTGGGAGGCGGAGGTTGCAGTGAGCAGAGATCACACCACTGCACTCCAGCCTGGGCGACAGAGCAAAACTGTCTCAACAAAAAATAAAGATAACATTAGTATTAATATTATAGATCTTACTATATTTCTGTTAGTGAGTTTTGTGATGGGTATTCCCCAAAGCCCTGTGTTACAGTGGGGGTGGAATTACAGCTGTGAGCCATTATACTGCTTGCCTCCCCCAATAAATATAAACTGGGTTCTTATTAATACTTAGCATGCATATGTTTCTTCCTCTTTTTTTTAATAGAGACAGGGTCTCAATGTGTTACCCAGGCTGAAGTGCAGTGGTTATCATGCCTCACTGCAGCCTAACCCTCTGGGGCTCAAATCGATCCTCCCAAGTAGCTGGGACCACAGTTGTGCGCCACCATGCATGGCTATTGTGTGTTTTTTTGTTTTGTTTTTGTAAAGATGGAGTCGAATTATGTTGCCTAGGCTGGCCTCAAACTCCTGGGCTCAAAAAAGCCTCCCACCTCAGCCTCCCAAAGTTTTGGGATTAGAGGCATGAGCCACCATGCTCAACCCCATCCCAGTAAATATCAACTGGATCCTTCCTCAATACTTAATTGAAAGACAGCAATTTTGGACATATTCAAGACAGTTGTTCCTTCTGCTTTGGAATGCTGAGAGCTTCTTTCCTCATAAGCGTGTTCTAGAAGTTCTACAGGGCCTTGCTGTGAGAACCAGAGAAAGCAGAATGGCCAGGGCCATCGAGTTGTCTTCTCCGAGATCATGATGAATGAAGGACTACTTTAAAAGGTGTCTCTCATCTTCAGCTGGAAACAAATAGTACTGAAAGGAGTGATCTGGACTGTTTCTCCTGTCTTTTAAAAGTGTGAGGCCTAAAGAAGGGAAAGGGTATCTTTGTGCTGTGGTAGGCCTGATACATTGTCAGTGACCAACAAATGTACTCAGCCATTTATATGGAGATAAGGTACCGTGTGATCTTAGCCAAACGGCCCTCCGCGTAGAGGTCAATTACCAAACCTTCCTTCAGCAGCCCTTGAGATTGGGCTTCTTTGTCAATCATCTGCTTGAGTATCAGCCATACTGAAGGAAAAGACACCAGGGATGGTGGTTGGTGGCAGCAGCAGCAGCCACAGATAAATGTGTCTCTGAGGTTTGGTTTCATCTGGTCCGTAAGATGTGTGCCTTTGGACCTGCTTCAGGCTAAATATCTTTGGGATTTGATGGGCTTTTGAAATGTGCATAAATGGGAGGTGGGAAAGTGAGGCCAGAGATTCATAACGACTGCTCTCCACCCTCCAGAGGGGACTGCAGAAAGTGCAGCTGGCCATTGGCCTGTTGACAAGGCACTCGGCAGTCACTGAAAACATCCTTTTCCTTTCTTGGTCAATTACCAAATGATGTTCTTCTACTGATAAAGTTTAGAAAGAAGGGAAAAAGAGGAAGACGGAATCCTGGACCCCTTTCAGCCTGCACTCGAGTATTCTGCATGTGTTCTTCTCCTGAATCTCCGGTGCTAATACCCCCGACCACTGTCGGCCCAGTGTCAGTGTGGCCCATGCCCCCACCACCATCCTCCTCTTGTCAGTGTGGCCCATGCCCCTGCCACCGTTTGCCCTGAGTCAGTGTGCTCTGTGTCCCCGCCAGCCTCGGCACCGCATCAGCATGGCTGGTGCCTCTATCACCATTGGTGCTGTGTTGGTGTGGCTGGTGCCCCTGCCACCATTGAGGTTGCATCACCTGAGGTCAGGAGTTCGAGACCAGCCTGGCCAACATGACAAAACTGCGTCTCTACCAAAAATATAAAAATTAGCCAGATGTGGTGGCACATGCCTGTAATCCCAGCTTCTCAGGAGGCTGAGGCAGGAGAATCACCTGAACCCGGAGGTCGAGGTTGCAGTGAGCTGAGATTGTACCACTGCACTCCAGCCTAGGTGACAGAATGAGACTCCATCTCAAAAAAAAAAAAAAAAAAAAAAAAAGGGTAGGGGCTTGGTGAGAAGAGGAGGTGTCCTGGTTTGGTTGTACTTTGTTAATATAGACTATATAGTATAGTCAGAATTGAGCTAGCAAAGTCTTCTCTAAACCAAAAAGTGGCCAGGCACAGGAGCTCATACCTATAATCCCAGCACTTTGGGAGGCCAAGGCAGGAGGATCATTTGAGACCAGGAGTTTGGGACCACCCTAGGTAACATAGCAAGACTTTGTCTCTACAAAAATAAATAAAAGACTGCTTGTATTAAAAAAAAAAAAAAGGCCAAAGAATGCCTTAAAGCATTGAAATAAAACGTACTGATGGTTTCCCCAACAGAACAGAGACATTGGCCACTGTTGGAGCTGTGCTAGGTGATGAGGAAGGCCATATAT